CATGCAATCCCTTGCCCCAATTATTATGTTCCACCAGCAGTTTTTAAACCCTTAAATGTTTGTTTTCAAGTTGCTGTGGAGTAGGAAGCAAACAAAAATAGATTACTAAAACCAATAGGGATGGAAGTTAGGAAGCAAACATTATAATATGTAGCTTTCTGTAGTCTGAGCTGTTGTCCATTGCCATGGACCTTAGGCAGGGAACAAATTGAACAGAGCCTAATGCTTCCATATGGCCTCTGGTATGATCATATCATTTTGCCCTCAGCAATGACAGTTATGAAATTCACAGCCTCAACTTTTCAAAGATACACAATATCCTGTGGATTTTCATCACCAAAGGCTTTTTAAAGAATTCAGTCAGTTTAAAACTTTAGATTCACAAAACAGAATACTGTTGAACTCCTGCTCTATTTACAACCGATGACCAACATCATGCTTTTCCCTAAAGCAACCAGCAGTCATGCAGCTTCTATTTTCTTATTTTCATGCCCAATAACACAGCAGTTTTATCTATATATCCTTATAAAAGTACGCTTTTGTGGCTGATTATTAAAATGAGCCATCTGGGGGCAATTATTAGTGATGTGAGGCTGCACTGTCTAGCAACAATGTGAAATCACTAGGTTGTTGAACAATAGCACTTGAGTTTGCAGCCGACCAGCTATAAAAAGGTAGTGGATATCAAAATGTATTTCATGAACCAAGAGAGACATTTGCTCATCAGGCTCAGCCAGATAAGTAGTGAAAGTAAGTTCTGCAGTATTCCTGTAAGATACATACTGTAGTATTATTACATTTAATGGTATTCGTAAGAACCAATATTTTAAATTGAGCAGTTTTAACATGTTCCATATTATCTTCATAATTTAAATATTATTAAAATTATTTTCAATGTGGAGGGGGACATTTTGACAAATCTTCTAACTGCTAATCTTTAAAACTTTAGGAAAATTATATTCACTGGCTGACATCTCATCTCATTTGAATCTTTTCCCCTCTGAATCAACACCTTGTATCATTCAATTTCACCAGCAAAATCACGTTCAGACAATTTTTTTTTTCTGCATTCCACTATTGTTCCTCAATGGTCCAGGCTGGCCTGAAACTTAACATTGAGCTGTGCTGGCAAGATCAAGTAAGCTTTGGAGACCAATCTGTACTACATGCCAGTTCAAGCTTAAACTGGAAAGTTCATGGGAACGTAGGAATACACAGGACCTGAAAAGATCTTGAGGTACTTATGTCGAAATTAAAAATAATTTAAATATAATTGTTCTCTCCTACTCACAGTTGAATTATTTGCTCAGTCTAATTCCCTCTTGAATTTTTGGCACAATTGGCATCCATTTGTGAGAGAAGGAAAGAAAAGGTACCTTCTAGCATGCTGTCATTGTTCCTTGCCTCCTATTAGAATACATTAGAATATACAGCAAAGAAATAGGCCATTCGGCCCAACTGGTCTGTGCTGGTGTTTATGCTCCACTTGAGCCTCCTCCTGCCCTTCCTCAGCGAAGCCTTCAAGCATAACTTTCTATTCTTTTCTCCCTCATGTACCTATCTAGCTTTCCCTTAAATACATCTATGCTATTTGCCTCAACAACTCCTTGTGGTAGCATGTTCCACATTCCCACTACTCTCTGTGTGAAGAAATTTCTTCTAACTTCTCTATTTGATCTATTTGTGACTATTTTATATTGATGGCACCTAGTTTTGGTCTTGCTCCTCTACACCATTTAGGTTTTTATTTTCCAGGATGTATGTTGGCTGGTCATAGAATGGCATTGAACGCATGTGCAGAGAAACTCTTAGCTGGAGAGTATCCCGCTCTCCTTATCGCAGGTGAATGTGCATTGCAGTGTAACCTGCATAGGAAAGGAAAATGGAAAGAAATGATCATATGGCTGGAAAGGGCAAAGATGTATGAAAAATCAGACTGAAACAATTATTATGCTTTATTCCCAATAGTCTAAAAACTACATTTTAAAGAATAGTAGGAAAGCAGCATTATTTAATTTTTTGTTAAACACTGTGCTTTTTGTCACAAAAATTCACATTAGAAAATTGTTTGATTTATTTCCATCAAAATACTATGGAGTATATTTTAAGGCAATGTATTTTTTAAAAATACTCTCAAAATATTGTTTATGCTCCTACATCAACAGTCCGTTTAAGTGGAAGGGTATTGATGTTGAAACCGGTGACAAGTTGAGTGAAAAAGAGAAAAGTTTACTGCCGATGAATGAATGGGTTGACCTGGAAGTTGTGCAAGATTTTTCAAGCTGCACCTCAGCACCTTGGGCCAACAAAATGGCCTTTAAGCCTGAGTGAGCATAGCTTTTTCCAGCACAGAGCTCTAATTTTCATCTTTTCAAACTGTTTTCCAGCACTTGGAGTGGAATTAGTATTGACAAGGATAGAATTTGTCTCCTGAAGGAGAATAGCCTGTCTCTATAAGTGCTAATGCAACATTTATCTGTTGGTAACTTTACACTGCTGCCCTGCCATACCTAATTTACCAAAAGCAAACTACATTCTGTGAAACGTTATTGTGTCTGAAGTGCTAGCAATTTGAGGAAAATCATTCCTATTTTTGCCATACCTCATACAACAAAGATACTAGTGTGATTATTGCTATTGATATACAATTAGTCTGTGCTAAAGCTTAATCCACAAGTGAGGGTGATTTTCATTTAAACAGCACACCACAATCAAGCAGCAATGCATTTCACAGTGGAAAGATGCTATAGGCATTCTTTACAGTAATTTAGTAACTGAGTTGTGAAACGGAGTATGTGTAACCTATTATTATGCACCACTCACAAAGTGCAAGTGGGTGAAAATTGATCCTGTGTATTGAAAGAGGAGTAAGTGTTATGCCCTTGCAGATGTGCGTGCAGTTATTTATTTTTCTCTTACTAATTTACTAATTTATTTCCCATCGAGTTCTAAAACCAAGCACACCAATTGGGGAAAATGAATCCCTATTGTAGGTACAATTGTTTTTTAGAGTTACGTATAGATCCCTTGCTGTTATGTCACTGCGATTAACATTACTTTCTAAATTTTAACTGTTACGTTAAAGGTTTTATGAGATTAGATTGTAACGATTTGTTTGTAACAAGGAATTACTTGAAATTTAATGCTGTACAAAGTAAAATACTGTCCTTGTACGGTCCATGAGATGCGAAAGTTGTAATGATCTTTCCATCATAAAATTTATGTGATTCCAGGCATTTAAGACAGTCTAAAAATGTTTAAAATGACTTTGATCTGTGTATTTTCTCTTTGTTTTCCTAATTTTCAAAAATTATTTCAAAATAATGATGTGTTCATGAAAAGTAAACCATAGAAAGAGGTGTGCTTTTTTCTGGGATGTATTATCACTTGTTGTTTAAAGAATCAAATCCAGGTCAGATGTGTGAATCCTGAAGTATTGGCAACAGGACAGCAACAAGCAAATGCTGACATTTGATTCAAAATTGGCTGTATTTTCTATTTTTGTTATTTTATATAGATATTAAAGAGGTATCAGAATATGATCATGATCAAATCCTAGATTGTTTTGAATGTGCCATTTTCAATAAGAAATTGAGCTTTCCTCTTTGTGTTTGACTGTAGGTTAATCTTTTCTTAAAAATAACCTGAGCAAATGCTTTGAACGATAGTGGAAATCCAGAGAAATGGTGTTAAATTGAAGATCTATTTGATAATGTTATCCTGGATTCTTTTGTTTGGATTAAGACGGAAAATGTCCTCAGCAGTTGGCTGTTCTGTAATTAATTTAAAATGATCTCTTCAGTATTGTATAGTTTTGTAGTGCAAATTGTTGTGGTGGTTTTTCTTTGTGTGCCCTTGAACTAAAAACACAGCATCAATGTACAAAGATTTCAAGTTTCAGAAAGGGTTCTGTTGATACAATGAGTTTAGCAGGCCTTGTATGAAAAGTAAATGGCCATTTATAGAATCAAGTAAAGCACTGTGATTTTTCTTTTAACTCTGGGCTCAGAAAACATGAGCCCCCCAAAAATGCAGCAAAATTGGGACCTGTTCCCAAGTGTAAGAACAGGCAGATGTGTAGTTATAATGGGAATAGTATACTGGCAATGTATAGTACAGTACAACTAATGTGAGACGGGGATTGGGGCTTCATTTGAATGTACTTGTGCTAAATGTTAAATTTTGATGTTGTTCCTGCCCTGGGAAATGGGAAATGTTGCCGTCAAAATGGAACATAATCCTGACTATGTTTGCTGTCACCCCTTATCATGATAAGTGGCTGGGCAATTTGCTTGAACTCCAAGCAGCTGGAGCAATCCGTGGAGGTGAATGGCTGCAATAGTTGCAGGAATCTGTAAAATAAAAAACACATGGAAAGTTATTTGCTTATACTAAGACCGGTCTGGCAAATGTTAATGTTTGGACGTTCAACTCAGAAAATGAAAGCAAAATGCATAACTCACTGCTTTTGTTTATCAAGTAAAAAAACGCTGGATTCTAGTGAAGTGTTTAGTTCCAAGAGTGAGTTATGATAGCTCTGTTTATTCTGAAACATATTGCAAGTGCAGAGGATATTGTCACATGAGCTTCCTTTCAGCTCTTTCCACAGATGACCCTTGTGCCATCCTGAAATTATTCCCAGACCTAATTCACATTTTTAGTTCAATACAAATACCCATGCACATGTAGACCCGCACACACTTGTCGAAAAAAGAGCTCCCCTCTACTTTTGTTCTGTAATACAATCTAAGTGTACTGAAAAATACGGTTTAAAAAATATCGAGAAAATAATTTGTACGTGTTTTCAGTTGCCAGGCAGGTTGCCTCATTTGAAATTGTGTCTCTGTACTGATAAGATGACAACTGTAGAAATACAATTATTAATTCCAGTTTTGCCAGATTCCATGTATTTTCGACTAATAATTAATAGATCATGTCTGTGAGCACCAAACTTGTGATTTATGTACATACCAATGATATCTCTTCATTATGTTTTACAGGAGAATATGTATGGTCAGTCAAAGGCTGTCTTTGGACCTTTGATCGTGGCAGTGGTGTCTCACCTCCCAAAAGACGCAGCAGTAGAGTGGCATGTTGTAGCCCTAACTGATGACCCCTGCAAGCGGAAATCATTAAGCATGAATCAGACACTGGATGATTGTAAAATTGACTGTGAAGTAGTAGAGTCAAGCTTCTTGTCAAGTGCTGCTATCTCATTGACCCTGAGCCTTCTCTTGCCATCAGTAACTTCTTTGCACCTTAACATTGTGATGAAAGAACTCGCTACTATGTTGCAGCAAGCTCTGGATAAGCTCCCCCAAGATATCATCCAAACTCCACTGTGTTTCAGAACGTTCTACCAGAAAGATGCCATAGATGCTAATTCAATGCAAATAGGTAAGACTATCACATTGACAATAATGTTTAGTGTGCAGAAATCAGTAACAGTAAAGCTGTAACACTTCTGGCAGCCAAGCAACAAGAGTTTGAATCTTGGGTTGATTGCCTATCGATGTTATGGATTTTCCCTGGAGAATAAGTATCCCCAGTCATCACAAAATAATCTGGATATGGGAGAGAAAATTGTCTTTACATTCATTTTTGCACCAATCAAGCATACCTCCTAGATAAACCAAAGGCAGATCTCTTGGTGTTATGAGAGTTAACGTGTCCTGAATGAGGGGGTAGTGTTGGTACATTGGGAAGAGGAGACTGATGAGAAAGAAGTAAGGAACACTGCATGAGAAAGTAGTGTATCCATTAAAATAAACAACTGACATTTTTTTACACCGTTGTATGAAAATATACTTAACCTGAATATAAAATGCTGGGTATCAAGAATCCAAATCCATAAATTGAACCTTTATGCAGGATTGTTCAGTACACTGCCAGCTATGAAAAATAACAGATCCTCTGTTAACAACCCATTAACAAACAGTAACTGTCGTGTGAAGTTTATTTTCTTAGTGAATCACTGGATGGGGGAAATCTTTAAATAACACATCAGTGACTTGCTGCCATGTGACTTCAGGTCCTATGCAATTTATTAGCATTTCCGTACTTCTTGCTGCCGTCACCATATCACACAGTATTATTAGGAAACACTTCAAACCAAAACATGCAATACAATTCGATATTAAAAAAAGAAAAACTAATGGTCAATGGTGAACTGGCTTCAAAGTGACATGCCTGGCAATGGAATGTCGGAATCGAGCCAGCCCTCTGTAGCGGTCTTGGGAATCCGGTTCCTGAGCCAGGCTGGTCCGCAGTATTCCAAGGCACTGCTGATGATAGCACAGCCAGCCTGGCTCATCAGCAGACCCAAGAAGGGCAGACCAGTCACTGGGGGCAGGGAGTCATCCCACTCAGCTCCTGTTAACCCTGCAAGCCCAAACCCTAACGGTTAGGGTGGTCCTAGCTGGACAAGCAGTGGCAATGCTTGCTAGACAGCAATATCAATGGCAAGCTATCCGGTTTTTGCTGGTTAGACTTCCACAGTTACCCTAACACACACTCTGGCGTTCTCAAGCCTTGACTCTTGTAAACCTGCGCCTAATACTTTACGGAATTGGGTGGGCAGGTTGTGTCCCTCCAGGGAGAGAGCGTGCATTCCATTCCAACAATCTATCTCTGGGATTTCCAAATGGGATGCTTGGAAGTCTCAGCTTGGTTCGGATACTCATAAGCATGGTGATGGATTTCCGAATGTATCAGGAAACTTCACTGACCCCCAATTTTTTTTAAAATAGTGAGTTTATGGCAGGAATTCAGTTTGGGACCGTGCCACCATTCAGAACGCTCGTGCTTTATTCTTCAAACACTTTGAGACGTCCTCCTGATGTGCAAGGCGCTATGTAAATGTACATTGTATGCATAATAAATAAAACCTTACATTTTGTATAGTGCCTTTCACATCACAAGGACATCCAAGTGCTTCACAAGGTGTACTGTAAAGTGGAGTAACTTGTGTGTTTTGTGGGAGAATGCGACAGCCAATATGCGCACAGCAATGATCCACAAACAGCCATGGAGTGAGAGATTAATTTTAGTTAGGGATTGTTGGCCAGAGGACCGGGAGAAACTCCTTTCTTCTTTCTAATAACGCCATGGGATCTTTAATGTCCACCTGATAGCTCATGATGCCAATAGACTTAAGTCCTAAGTAACTCACTGTCAGCATTGATTATCAGTTATTGATCTAAATCCAGATTCCCTGTTTAAAAGGTTTCTGCTTTTGTTAGTTTCAATTCATGTGAATAAGCAGAACAGTAACAGAATAAAAGTGCGTAACCTCAGCGTAAGCTCAGCGACTGCCTATTATTGTTGCTCTCAGTTTGATAGTCAGTCAAGTAACAAAGATAAAATCTGACTTGAATACCACAAAGTCTTCCTCACAGAATTATTGGTTTTGCAATAAGATCACTCAAAAATATTGTCAGTTACTTTTGCATCGATTGTGTGAGTTCGTACAATGTTCTTTAAAATGTGACAGTGGGGAATAACAATTTTTCTTAAACAAATAAATGTCAAATCTTCAATAGAAGAAAGTGTTAGTAGCTGAGAAGTGGAATAAAACACCCTCATTTTATACAATTTCTTTTAGAAAGCCATTAGTGGGCTGAATTTAGAATCTGTTTTTAAAATCTGACTTATGACTGAATAATAATGTTTAAAGGAAACAAAACAACACAAATTTCTGTGACCACAAATCAATGTTAGGCAGAGACTACCTGGTAAAAGAATCCTCTAAACTGGATTTAGTTTCTGGTCGATATTGTGACTCAGTACTACAGTTGTTTTGTTTTATTGTACATTCATGGAAATGAATCCCATGGGGTCTGCCTAAGTTTGAGTTTTTTTTAACAATAATAACAAAACAAAACTGTAATATAAAAACCGAGTTAGTTATTCTTGACATGTAATGATATGATTTACCCAATACACAATACACACTATGGCGTTATTGTGGAATTATTCCAGCATCTGCTGCCTCCCTGGAAGAAAATAGTCTACAGATGTTTCTTTTTGTACATTCAGTCACATTACTGTAGTGCTGTTGTAGCACAATGACTAATTATAGGATTTACCAGCCTGGCATGTGATCTATCCCCTAAACACAGTCAGATAACCACTTAATAATACATTGGAGCTCACTTGGAACAATTGTGATACAACCAAATTATGCTTCAGGTCAAAAGTCTGCCATGTACAAAATCAATTCCATTCCCTGTGCTACAAAATGTCATTGTTGACTCCTGTTCTATGAGATCAAATCTCACTTAAGACTTCAACCATAATTTTAGCCCACTGTCATTTAGGGTCAAATTCTCAGACATCTTCATTAACGTATTATCACGACTACTTGATAGGATCATTGTGTGCTGAAAAAGGGTTCTGTAGATATAAACCTATTTTCTTTAACACTTATACCTAATGAGAGGAATATACCCATCCCATTTTTAAATTTAAACACAAAAGAATAGGACTCTAATGCAGCACAGAATGACAGTATGCAGCTTTGTGTCCACAATTTCCATGTGCTAAGCACAAAAGAAATGTGAGCAAACTTTTCACAAGAAAATGTCACAGAAAGATCAACATCTCTTTGACACCCTTTGTTTCTTTGTAATGCTCTCCTACTACCATTACCACATACTAACATTTACAGCCCGAGGCACTATATGAAAAGCGAGTAATACATATATAAACAAACACATTCAGCGGTGCCTCATTACTGTAATTTTTCTGTATTAAGGGTGCACTGATATGTGCTATGAATTAATACGTTTTATATTGCAAAGATTTACTTTCCCTGCTGTGGATTAGTCATGCATCATGCTACATTCTTTGGCCTTCGGAATGGTCCTAAATGCCGAAAAAACAAGCCAATTGCATACTAAATGAGGAAAAAATAATAATTTGGTCACTCAATTCACAACTGTTTGTGAGACACTGCTGTGTGCAATTGGCTGCTGTGTTTCGCCCACAAAATATACAGTCAATTCACTTTACTCTGTGAAATGTTTCAAAAGACGTGATAAGGCACCATATCAAATAGCAAGGATTATTTTTAAAAACAAAGGGATAACAGACAGTTGTCAGAAGTACAGAATCAAACATTTGGTGGCCAAGTGATGTGACACATGAGTGCATCAATGCATTGTGCTGCAAAGACATGTGGATTCTTAGCATACCATGTTCTTGATTTGCAGGGAAAACATATAAAAGAAATTCATGAGGAATAAGGAGCTTCCTTCAGTAGAAAATATCAAGATAAAAGGGAAAATTGTTGCTTTGGATATGTTTATATTCTGAAACAGCCTGTTTTGAAAACTCAATTTTATAGCTTCCATATTGGCTGTTAGGAAAATTGTATATTTTCTGCTGCAGTGTTAATTTGCTGCAGTGCAGTTTCGTGGAGTAATTTATTTCTTCATGCACATAGAATCAAATTTGTGATATCATGTCCCAAGATGGATCATTGCACTACACTATTTACAAACCGATAAACTGTCCAGTTGTTCATTTTACTAAGGTATTGTTTGAGAATTGGAAACTTAACAGTGGTATGTCAAAAACTAAAGCCTAAGAAAAATAAAGCAATGGTAATTGGTACTTATAAGCAGGAGGCAGAGACACAATAAGATAAGGATAAAGTAAAAGAGTGAGCTAAAGATAAATTAATTTCCATGCTGGAATTACAATAGCTTTACTGCTTGTAATTTAGAGGTTTGTTTAAGTGAGAAGGAATTCTGGTTGCAGAGTATGACTTGTAGACCCAATAACTTATTTTACTACACTATGGACATTGACATTACTAATAGTTGACTTATCTCTCATTTCCAGAAAAAAAGTACTTAGTATAGAACAATTGAAGCCATAAGACGAGCATAGAATATTACTTACTATGCCAGAAACTCCTTTCTTTTAAATTCTGACCAATTCATCTTTTGTTTGTAATTTCACATTCAAGTTCCTTTGCTCTGCTAAAATTAGGCATTCTGCTCAAAACTGAAAAATATTTTCTGAACAGGTTTAAATTGTTGCTTTCCCAGCTATATTTACCAAACTTTATTGAAAAAAAGTTTGTGCTTTTGTTAGTCTGAATTCATGTGAATAAGTAGAATAAAACTGAGCAACCACAACTGCCTATTATTGTCGCTCTCAGTTTGATAGTCAGTAAAGTAACAAAGATAAAATCTGACTTGATTACCACAAAGCCTTCTTTATAGAATTATTGGTTTTGCAATAAGATCTCTCGAAAATATTGTCAGTTACTTTTGCATCGATTGTGTGAGTTTGTATAGTAAAACAAATGAATATCAAATCTTCAATAGAAGAAAGTGTACGTAGCTGAGAAGTGAAATGAAGCACCCTCATTTTATACAATATTTTTT